TTTATACCAGAATTTACTGTGTAGGTACGTTGGGACAAAATAATGTTTCAAGATTTCATTTCGAAATATTTATTTTCTTATACATATAATTAAATCAGCAATCCTCCTCTTCTGCAGGAACTTCTATGTCGGGAGCATTCTCAAACAGAAATTTAATTGTTTTCTACCTCACGTGAAGTACCTATTTAATATTTTTGAAGAAAATATTTCTTTTTGCTATTCGTTGAAAGATGGTTTTATAACATTATTTCAGTTGAAATGTATGGAACGCCGTTTTACTTTTTATTGTCACAAATATTCATTCCTCAATTTATTCAACTAACAATTTATTTGTTTGAATTAAATTGATTCATGCATTTGTTCGACACATTAAAAACGATTGTTCCCAAAATTTGTTCTATTTCAAATGACACTTGATTTAAAATGTTACATGAATTAATTTGTTTGATGAAAAGTTGCGAACAGTTATAATATAGATTCATTGTTTGAAATTTTTGGAAGTAAATGTTTGTCATATATACTTTTTTTGTAACTATTGAATAATTTACTACAATTTCTGTGAAACATGATGAAATTGTTTGTTGATAATTATAGTTACATGAATTAAAACGAATGTTGATAATTTTAATTCGGCGCTAGCGTCGAGCGGATTCTTGCAGAAGCTGAATTTTTAAATCTGGCAACATGATAGTCTAGTGATAGTAACACAATATTCCGTCCGACCGCAGCGCCGAATAAAATTATCAACATTCAATTCATGTATCACCTAAAAACAACAATCAAAACAATTCATTTTTACAAAATACCAATAGAAAGTAAAACGGCGTTCCACGCCTTTTTATTAATATTCCTTTGAAATGAGCTGAATTATTTTGTTTGTTGAATTTCAGTGATGCATGAATTAAATTGATAGTTGATAAATAATTTTTATTGGGCGCCACAGTTGAACTGCGTTTTGACGTACTATAAATGAACTAGCATGTTGCCATATGTAGCACTTGAAATTCTTGATAAATCCGCTCGATACCAGCGCCGAATTAAAATTATCAACAATCGTTTTAAACGTATCTTTCAAATACAACAATGAATGAACAATGAATTACCTTTAATTTGCTCATTAATATTTTGAGCTATGAATGGTTTTATTATTCTTTGCTGACTGATTGAATCTTAGCATTACTCTTAGGGTTGTTGTGAACATGGTATATTTTCACTGATCTGCTTGCTTTTGTCAAAATCGGTATATTTTTTAAGGACAAAATACAAGCACCACAGGAAAATCCTTGAGAAAAACCTGAGGTCAAACATATCATAAAATACTCACTCGTCTCATATTTCTTTTTATTATCACATTTTTTGGAATTAAAATTCTGAGGTTATGAAATTAAATGCATCAATGATTGGAATAAAAAAATAGGCAGTCTTAGTTGTCTCCATGGTGGAAATAATAAAATAATGAATTAATTTACATACATTATAACTTACTCGTTAATCGATTTCTTTTTCAATGAAACTCATTCATAGAATGAAACAGCATAGGAGTAGTGTCTTGAATGAATTCAATCACGACTATGATGTGTTACATTTGGAAAAGAAAGGTTCAAACCTCAATGTTTTGGAATGTTTGGAAATCAATAGATTTGAGAATTCCTAAAATCAACTGACTGACCAACTAGAATTAAATGCTCCCCGTTTATTGTATCATTTTTCTAATGTGGAAATCGGTAATTATATTTGTCTAACATAATTCTAATATGATTTGAAATCTCTGAAAGAACAAATAAAATTAAAATGAATAGCTCCATTGTGGAGCTGATGGAAGGTTTCACCCTGTTGATGTGCTAAGGAAAGGTGTCTAGTCCTGTATTCCAATTGTTTCATACTGTGAAGGTTTCGTCAACGTATCTCAAACAGACTCGGGACTTTTCTGGTGGGGAACCAGAAAAGATCAACCTCATAAAACAAGTCAATAAAGAAAACCGTATGGACATGTGGGAAAACCTAAACATCCATAAATTCAAAAGTCATAATTCACTTATCGAGGACAAATACAAGTCAAAAGACCTAACATTTAATATTCTACACGATACAATACATGAACAATGAACAAAGTATATTACCTGATGCAACCCAAATACAGGCAAATTTAGAGGCGTTAAAAGCGTTTAGGGCGTTCTAACCTATAAAAAAACAAACAAGGAGATAAAACGTTCAGTTTGAGTAGAGCCATGAAGATGATAGCACAGCCTGGTATCGCATGTAATAAATAGAAGTTATTAAAGCTTCAAATCCTTTTTGTAAACATATCTGTTCAAAATCTGTTTTCCGTTAATCAGCTGTTGCCCCATACGAACGACGACTCTCAGAAGTTGAGAAACTTGTGCGAGCTCAGGACTATCGAGGTCTTACCTTTTAACGTGTGATTCCTAACACTGTTGCAGAATCATTCCAGCTTCAACCAGATAAATTCTCTCGAGAAAAATATCTGGTCGAGGCGGGAATCGAACCCACGGTCTTCCGATCGTGAGTCGGGCGCACTACAACCGCGGCCAATTCCACAACTTCCAGGTCCTCGTCTTCGGATAGCTTCCTCTGTATGATTTGAAGTGCTTTTTCAAAACTGATTGATTGATCTTGCTCCGTGACTTCGATTGCCTCTAGTAATTCGGAAAATTGCCTTGAATCCTTCACAAAACATGAAGTTTTTCCTTGTAGCGGTTGTATAATTGGAAGTTAAAATCTGGACAAGTTTTGATTAGCTGAATCTCTGAAACTAATGATAGGTCTGAGCGGAACACCCTTTTTGTAGATGTTGGGCAGTCCAGACAGGAGAGAAGGCTTAATGTGGTGCGGTGTCAGCGATGATCTATCCTTTTCCGAAAAATAGACTTGATGTTTTTTCAAAGTCTGGTTCAACTTCCTTTCAATTGATGCAGTAAGCTTCTGTACAATCTTCGTTTATTGACCCTTCTGACGGACATTCAGAGCTCTTCGTTTTCCATCGCTGATGTCAGATGTTGGAACTGGTTCTCGATCCAGCTCTTCTCTGATTTTCCATATAAATTCTTCTGCTTCGGTCTGACATCGGTCTTCAAGAAATTTTAAATACTATTAGAATCAACAACTTTCAAACAAACTTTGGTAATTATAGTTGTTATATAAACTCAGGAAATTTTCATTTATTACATGTAAAATGTCTTTCTAATGTTTGAATTTGTAATTAGGTGAAATTATTACCTAAGGCATTAAGGTAACCCATTAGGTACCTTAGGTACCTACCTAAGTAGGTAACCCATTCAGGTAAACCATCCAGGAGTACCAAAAATCTAATCTAAATTTTAAAATTAATTTAGGTTGGTATACCTGTATGGTTGGTTTGCTTCGAATGCAAAATATTGAGTCATGTGTTGTTGATAATCTCCGAAATGGTTTTTTTGTTACTTCAAACCTTTCGGCAAAGAAACCTGAAAAACTGAAAAAAATTCTTTTTTTCTGGTTCTCAGCCACCCCTCACAATTCTCGGCCATTTTTATATCAGTTCTCGGCCATCCAAAAATCTGTCTCAATAAATTGGTATACCTATAATTCTTTATAATTATATTCGTTAATGTTAACTATATAATGTTTATGAGATCACCCGATGAGATCACACCTTTGGTCCTAAAACTTTACCACTAGATGGACATAGGGCGAAACCAGACTCATCTCCATTTAAAATTCTTCTAGTATATAAGAGAATTCATTATCTTTCAAAAACTGTTCAAGTTTCTCGAACAATTTCTTACAGATTGTTCTGTAACTCAGCTTCCCTGAGAGATATCTCTGGATTCCTTTTCATGAAGTTCATATACCAGGTTTGTTTTGGTGCTCTCTTTTTAAATAAATTTAGACCAGAATCTGCATTTATTTTACAAACCGCGTATCCAGTAGCATCTCTCTTCTCAACTCATCCGGTACTCTCCCTGTCAGCCTGTCCTGAATTGTTGCCCTTCGGACATTGAATCTTCTACTGGCTTCTCTTATCTTCATTTTATATTAACTCTGACTTCATGCAAGGCATTTTTCAAATCTTCTTCAGAGTATTTTGGTACATTATTCGCCGCGTTTTTGGCCTAGGTCGAGTTACCACAGAGTCTTTATTTCTGATTCTATTTCTTTCAGATCTAGCAATTCAATTGAAAGGCAAATATTAAATGTTTTAACTAATTCTCGGCCCCTTCGGCCGGGAACCAAAAAGTAATATTTTTTTTATACTGGTTCGCGGCCACTGAAAATTTCAAATTAAAAGTCGTTTTTGGGTCAGTTATATGAAAAAAATCACTTTTTTAAACCATTTAGAATAATCTCCAATATATTACATGTATTTCAAATGAAAAAGTCATAAAATAATTACTATTTCGTCCATTGACTCCACTTAAAACTTTCCTAATTTAGACACACGTGTTATCTCTTCCTCAGACATACAAGAACTAAACATTTTTTCGCGCGACTTTCACTAATGATGTCATCTCAACCCTTACCGTATATATTGGATAAAGATAAGATGCCGATAACTAGTTTAACTGTGGTAATAAGCTAGGATAACTCATTTCTTTTAATATTTCGCTTTAAATGATTAAAAGGCCGAGAACTAGTGCTGGCCGGATAACCAGTACACTTACCCTACGTCACTTGAATATTTTAAAGTAGGTACTTTTGTTGCACCCTATATAGTATGGACATACTAATTGTATCACCTCATAGGTTTGTGTTGGTAGGTTTGCTTTGGAAGGTCGACAATACTAAAAAACAACAATACGTAGGTCATTTTCAATTACATATTAACAAATATTTTTCAGTATCTACAAAAACAAAAAACTAAAACATCGATATGATCTCTCATTTGCCTCGTAACATCGAAAACAGCGAGATCTCAATTCTCCGAACGGCATCATCTTAAGAGCCGTCATAAAAATGTCATCGATATTTTAACATTAAGTTATGAATACCAATCACGAGTTTATAAATTTCCTTTGCACAATTTCCTGGTCTCGAAGAGACGACAAAACGATTTTAGGCGCCAAACCTGTCATGCACGACGAAGTCCCAAGAAGGTTGTGTTGAAATATTATCATAATAAGGTGAACGCCAAGACGTGGGCATCACTGCCTACTTTATTCCGGACACACCTCGCACATCAACCTACGGACTGCATATCCAGGAGCCCGATTTGATACGAGATTTCACTATAAACCTTTCCAGCGTTTCTTCTTAAATTTCTTTCGTGTCTTATTTGTAATAATAACACAATTCACGAAAGTGAGCTATGGATCGGGTCGAATTTATGTGAAAGATAAATAAGGGCGTCATTTGTGTTTTCTGTTTTACTTGTTCAAGGATATATGCCCGTGAAAGAAGTGTGGGCAGTCGATATGTGGGCTGTTGAAAAACTTGAACAAGTTGGAGTAATTGAACGGATTTGTGGCCGTCGTAGGAAGAACATTCGCCAGCAGAGCTGAACTCACCTGAAGCAATATCGAATATTCATTCATACGACTTGTATGAGGTTTTCAAAATAAGAGATAGGAAACTGATTATGTACCGCACACGGAGAATTTTGGACGTGAGGTTGCATATTTGTTGAATAATAATAGAAACAGTCTTGATTTCATATGAAACCATGAACTGTAGCCCATGAATAATAACGGGTGTTTCTTTTTTAATGTTACTTTTTGTGACAATACTTTTTTTTGTGAAACCCACTTTTTGAAAATAACCTAATAGGTTTATTACGAACTTATGAAGAGCTGCCTCAGATTAAAAATAATTACTTACTGAGCTATGTCATGGAATTGGCCGAGTTTGATGAAAATCCATAACGTGTACGCTGTCTTTTCAAAAAATAAGATGTATTTTCATTTTTCTCAAAAAATATTTGTTTATTTATCAATTTCTACTGTGTTCCCTTCAAAGTAGACCTCAGAAACAATACATTTAGTCCAGCGTTTTTACCAATTCTCGAACAATTCTGATACCTATGCACTTCTGGGTATGTTCTGAGCTCTCTCTCCGATTCAGTTTTTATCTACTCAATCGTCGATAATTGCCGTCCTTTCATGGATCTCTTCAATTTTGGGAACAGAAAAAAGTTGCAGGGGGTCAAATCTGGTGAATACGGTGGCTGAGGACTGGTTACGGTGTTGTTTTGTGAAAAGTTTGGACTATTTGTTAACATTTTTATGACTCAGAATTCGATCATCGTATGCCAGTGTCAACATTTCAAGTGTTTTCAGCACTTAATTCCATTTTTCACACAAAATTTTATGTAAATTCTTTGATTCGTTTTTTTCGATAGCAGAAAATCGCCGAACACTTCTAACTTTCATACCTCTCACCAACTAACTGAACATGCTTAACAGCTAAAACTGTGAAAATATGTTCGAGACAAGTTTACCAACATAAAACAAATCGCTAATCCAATGTACGTATCCCGCAAAATTTGAAAATTTTCCTTATTTTTTCAACAGTCTACGTATTCAGGTAATACTTTGTGAGATTTTCACTGGGCGGTTTGCGTAGTTTAGTATAAAAATGCTTGAGGAAGCTATTGCTTAGAGAAACACGTGTTGTGGTTTTGCAAACTGGCCAGTGAAAATCTCAAAATGAAGTGTTACTTGAATAAGTACTGAGTAATAAGTAATAATAAACACTCTGAAGAATGTTACAGAACGAAAAAGTGCTTGGGTTTATATTCTCGCTTTGTTTGAGAGCAGTCATATTTCAATCCAAAGATTATGTTTGCTGATGAAATGGCGATACTCTATAAAAAAAGAAAATGGGCAAATCCGTGGAATGAAACTACTCTAAAGAGTACATTCGACTGATAAATACCATAATAATCCAACAATAAATAGTGGAAAAAAACATGCTATATCTATCAGTAGCTCACATTATACCTATCCCAAGTACACGGTCAGTTCAGTTTGAAGAAAAAACTGGAAAGGCAAAAAAATAAGATCAAGAAACATTAATGAAAACAACATGAGCACCAAGAAAGTAAAAGAACGAAAAAGAAAATACGAACAAGAAATAAAGAAAAAAGAACAAAATATATGAAATGATATCTGAAATGTATTTCCCAATATTAAGCCAATTATTGAAACAGGAATTTCTATATTTTCTTACTATTTGTCTAGTTCAAGATTACTTTCAATTCCATGAAAAAGTTTTATTCATATAGCGAAGGTTTGAATCCTTGCTGAATCCTTGCTAGGTGAAGTTTTCATGGATTCCATTCAAACGTCAATTTAATTCACCACCGAAATGGAGGTAAATAATTGAGTAGGTAAATATTCTACACTTGACTATTAATAAACATACTTTTGCAATTTTCCACAAACCATTTTGAACGGACATTGTCTTATATAATTCCGCGACACAAAATCTTGTCTGGGATATCTTAAAAAATAATTAGTTTATCAAGTGAAATTAAATTCATTTCAAAACATTTTCGAAATGCAGAAAAAAGTGAATTTTAGGTGAGAAAATGTGACCGAATTGACAGAGTTTTTCGATTCGAATACTTATATTTGCTCCCTGCATTTTCTATGGCGAAAATAGATAAACCAATCAAAAATATTTGTAATTATATTAGTAGATATAATGACAACATTTTCAAAAATTCTACCATAAATTTAGCCGCAAAATGTTCAGTTGTTCACGTTAATATTGTTGCTGATCAATTTCTATGTTAATTTGAAAGTTTCTACTTGTGGTTAAAATGAATCAGTAATAATAATAATAGTTCATTAAGAAAAAAATAGTCAATGATTGTTCACCTTATTTTCAATTTGTATAATATTAGATAATAGTAGTAGTGTATTGGTACCAATTTTTTTTAACGATTGATTCGTTTGTGGAGATAATATTGCTTTTCCAGGCATTATCGCACAAAACTAACCTATATGTATTGATATGTCTTAATCGTTTGGTACCCGACATATGTATGTTCGCAAATATTTGTCATTATCATCAATATCAATAATATTCGTTCCATTTGCAAAACCAGTTTTTTTTTCAAAAACACAGACGTTTACAACTGCAGAGTAGACATTGTCAAAGGAAGTGAAGCAGTGTTCTACTTGTTCAAACTCACCGCCTTTGATAATATTTACCGCAGTTGTAGACGAAACATCAAGAGTAAAAAACCTACAGACACAGCCAACAAATCTGAAAAAATCTCTACTATAGTTGCCTGCGACCTTGAATATTTACGTACTCACATATTCTATTTGTTTCAGACTGACTAATTCGAAGTATCCAAAAAGTATGATTCAGTACGACAAAGAACTTTCGGAAAGACTGGGACTATCATTGGATGGCCAACCAAGCTACACCGACTCTAACAATAACGCTGGTTCTGACCAATCATTCAGCGATAAATATTCCCTCAGGCCGAGAGCTTTGAGAAGAAATATCATAAAAGAAGATACGGAAGAAGCCATAATTAGAAACAAATGTCGAAATAAAAAGCAGAAACAGAAAGCAGCATCCTTGAGTAAATACCGAAGGAAAACCGCCAATGCTCGGGAGAGGGGCAGGATGCGAGAAATCAACCAGGCATTTGAAACCTTGCGAAAGGTAGTCCCGCAAATTTCAGCATCTCAGGAACAGAATGAAAAACTGACGAAAATAACGACCCTCAGATTGGCGATGAAATATATATCGACACTATCGGCCGCTTTGACAGATCCCAATTCACCGGAGGACTTATTTTCTGACTGGTCGGAGCTAGGAACTTTCTTGTTGGAATCTGACGGAGAATCGATGGCGTTACAAAGTGATATGTCTGACCATTCTCTCACTTCGCCAGATTTTGGTATTGATTTTTCCAGTGACTCTTTGAATACTTTAGATTTTTCCCCCCTGAGTACTGATCTCTCAGTGAGCTTATCCCCTTTTGACCAATTTTTGCCAGATTTCAGTTAACACCTATTTTTCGAATATGCTATTAACGTCCCGTATTTAGTTGTATACTGTTGTTTATATGACGACAATGTGATTTGCTGTCAAATCTTCCGGATACTAACTTATAAGTAGCATTTAATTCAACTCTCGTAAAAACAGCTTTACACAATCAAATTCCTCTAATATTTAAAAATGTATTTTACTGATAAGAACAATAAATGAATTTTTATATTTTGTGTGATTATTCATTAGAAAAATTGCAGTAATTGGGACAAATCTATGATGCATCAATATAGGATATTTTAAGTAATTCAATATTTGTCAGAAAAATATTAATAGTTCTATACTGATGGATTTTGTTTCAAATACTATGGAATTTAATAAATTGATGGATGCAGCCGTTACTACGTGGTAGGAAATCATAATGAAGAAAAGAGAAATGAAAATTTCTATGTTTTTTACCACTTTTTATCTTTTCTTCATTATGGAATTTAACTTTTTTGACTTCATTCTCGCTATGTACCAGTTTCCATGTTAAAGGTAATTCCGTGTAACTTCACCCATACGGTAGTAGTTACTTATTAAAGCTTGGCTATGTAGCAGACCACCAAGGGTTATCCTCTTCATCTTAGATAAAGCAGATTTAAGTATTCTGTCATTATGATCACATCTTACTAAGGTAATCCAAGATCAATGCTATGCAATGGAAATGCATATAGACATAAATGAAGCTTTTGATAACACCTCACATACATCCAATACTAATCACATGGATCTATCTCTTGACATACTCTTCACCCAGAGGCAGTAATATTACTGTAATATTTTTGGAGGAGTGTTTTCATTTCACTTCCAGAGAGCATAACAAGTAGGGCAGAGTGTTCCACAATCAGATACAAAATAGGTTTTGCTAAATTTTGACCTTATTTATCAAACAAACGAAAATGTTATTGTCACTAATACAAACTAAGGCTGTGCATAAGTTTCTATGGTAGAATATACATCACAAACCAAAAAATAATAAAAAAAATGTTTGTTTAAAAATGAAAGGACAGTTATCTGATTGTGGAACATACATGTTCCACATCCAGACACGGTATGTTCTTGCCTTTTCACATTCACTTTTTTAATGACACTAATTGTGTTCCACAATCTGACAGCGTCTGATTGTGGAACACGATTCTACTACCAGTTCCATTAAGGCTCATATTATGAAATCAAGGATAGGAAAAACTTACCTAGGAAAATTTGAGCATTTTTTGTTGAAAAATGCTCAAATCCAAAAGAATAGCATTTCAACTTTCTTTACCAAAACTGCGTGTGTAACCCTACTATCTGATCGAAAAACATCGAACTCGCGGCTGGAATTTCAAAATTACATGCTTTGTCTGATTGTGGAACATGTCTGATCGTGGAACATTTTCGCCTAACCTTTTCGACCAAGACATTTTTAATTTTTATACCAAAATATGAATAAACAGAGGATCTTCGATGTGAAGAAAGCTTCAAAATTCATCATCATTTCCTGGGCGTTTCTGCTTTCACGGGAGCGAGAGCTCACTAGCATGATAGGTAATTATTTAATAACAATGTAGACGCAGGCCCCGCCTGCTTCCAGTGTGTTATCATCAATAAGTCTATAGATGTAAAATGCATATCTGCAACCCAGAATTCGTATAATGGACCAGATTTGTTCAGAAAGAAAAGGGGATTTCAAAAATTGTTTTCAAATTAGTTAAAAGCACTGACATATATTTCTGTTTGAAATGATTCAGTCCAAGTACCCCACAGGTAGAAATAAAACATTTCATTCTATAGCAGAAAATAACTTTTGTTGTAGCTACTTAGTGAAGTTGCAGGTTTCAAATGAATTGAGCCTTCCTTATATGCTACGAGGTCCAGCTTTATCTTCAGTCTCTAATTTTTGCTTTGCTAGTCACAATAAACAGGAATTTCCCAAAAATGATACATATCAGAAAGTGCCTATTCTGAGTGAACAATGAAAATTGAATATAACTGGAGTTTTTTCTCAACACCAAACCGTTATTTCAACCAAATGATCATCTTCAAGAGGAAGATATTCCTATAGATCATCTTCAAGAGGAAGATCTTGGTGATTGAAACGCGTGTCGAGGTGTTAAAATAACGGTTTGGTGTTGGGAAAAGACTCCAGTAATATTCATTACTTTTTGTAATGGAATGGGTATTAAATATTGAAATTATTTTCTGAAAATGTATATTCTGAGTGAATGATGGAAATTGAGACGATCCATATGGAAAAAATCAATTCGCCCCTCAACAGCCCCCCTTTACTCTTACTGTTTTCGGAGAATTTTTGCGGAATGGCTATCAATAACTCAAATTATTTTTTCAAAATGCATATTCCGAGTGAATAATGAAAATCGAGAAGATCTTTACAATCCTACACTCGAAGAATAATTGAAAAAAATTATTTCAGCCTCCACCATGTGCACTGAGGTAGTTCTGTATCTATTTATCTGTAGAGTAGGGAGGGTGAGTGTAGACCCACATCACTTAGGCCACATCTGACCCAATGTACGTCCTCCCGAGGAGTTGTCCCCTCAGGTCATCGTCCATCCTGTCCTTTCCAGGAAGGTGGACAGGTCATCACTAGGAGACATCTTCTTTATATTGGCAGGTGTAGGAAAAGACTTGCCGAACACACACTCTCTTTGGCAACCTTAAGGTATCTCACGGAAGGTGCAGCGAGATTATTGCCGTTGCGCGGCTTCTTCAACCTTCTTGGGGTTCCCTCCGTAGAAGTGCACCAGTGAGGAAGCTTTTCTGCAGGGCCAACCGGTTCCATGCCTTTATTCAAGGCGGAGCTCTTGGCGCCCGCCGCAGGAAGTGCCCTTGCTGTTGGAGGTGAAGTGGGGGAGGAGGAGGGTGCACTTATAGTTGCTGCCACTTCTGCCTCTTTCGCTCTCTTCCTCCTTTTGGCCTCGGCGCCTCAAATGCGCTTACGCCTTGGCCTGTGTATTATATCACGAGGTGATCTGCTATTTCCAGCCTCATTCCAAGCGGTAGATTGGGGTAAACATTTCTGTACATCCCCAGCCACCGCTTTAGATTAAGGTGAGCACTTCTGTCCAGCCTTGAGATTGGTTTTTGTTGTTTCTGTTTCATTCATGTATGTTCCCACGAGTAGCAAGGAAAGAGTTGGTCACCTCTGGCAGAGCCCTGCATTACCAGAGGTAGGCTGATTACAATGAGGTTCCGCCCAGTTCCCCAAGGGGATCGTTCGTAACCGCATATCACCCTGCGGCCATTCATCTGTCGGCACGATTCCTTACACCTCAGCTTGGGTAGGCTGGTCCACGGTGGCATGTTTTGCAAAGGCTTTTGGAAGTTTTAGTTCCCTTACCCTACTTATTTCTGCCACTGACCAGGAGTGTGGCGACCCCGTCCGTAAGGCCACATTGGCTTCCCGGACAGGGCCTCCAGTCTCCTATCCGCCACCTGGGAACGCGCCCGATAGGTAGGCCAACCCACGGGCACTGAGGTAGTTATCCACATATTAATTCAGAAGAGAAGCAACAAATTAATGGATATGATGAGGAAGAAGCCTAAAATAATTGCACGATCAAAATTTCCAAAAAGTGAAAGATTTCGAATCAGTTGTCATTTTAACGAAGAAGCTAGCAGAACCCATTTTTTTAAAACACTAATTTACAAAACAACACATAGAAAATCAGCGGTAGGGTAACAGGAGCCTGAAATTATGACGTAGTCTGATTCACCAAAAAATGTTAAGTGGGGGTGTTACGGGATGAATCAAGTTTTTTTCTATATTGATAGTCTCAGTTTTCAATATTCACTCAGAATATGCATATTCAGAAAATAATTTCAATATTTATTACCCATTCCGCAAAAAATCTCCGGAAATGACAAGAGAAAAGGAGGGTGTTGAGGGGTGATCTGTTTTTTTCTCCATTTGGATCGTCTCAGTTTCCATCATTCACTCAGAATATGCATTATCAGAAAATTATTTCAATATTCAATACCTATTCCAAAATAATATTTCGGTCAGCCTTTTGGCTTCCTACTTTTTTCTGAAAACAATTCTCCCCAAAAATATCTCCTTTTTAATTCGTTGAGAAGCATTCCCTCTACAGAATTCATTGTTCAGATACGTCTATCAAAAATATTTGAACTAAGCCGAACAATATAACAAAACGCCCTGTCTGTTGTTTTCACATATTTTTATGCCAATGCTTTTATTTTAATTATCATTAGTTTAATCTGAACTCAGTTGATAGACTTTCACAACAAGGCTTTATTTTCAGACAGAGTAGATATATTTATTTTAATTGAAAGGGGTGTATTTTTAGGAAAGGTTTTGGCTTTCTACTTCTCCATCTCTATACAAAAAATGTGGGAAATTGTAAAATGGATTGTTTAATCAAATATAGATCATACCAAGAAATAACTTCAGACACAAACTGGAAAAAATGCCCCCTCGAAACAACTACTTTCATAAATATTGGATTTCATGAATGTTTGGACTACAAACTTGATAGGAAAAAGTGTTTTTTGTATAATTCAATGTAGTTGTTTTGAAAGTACTGTTTCTTTCGTGTTATCCAATGTTTACATGAAAGTATTTGGTTTCGAGGAGGCTTTTTATTTCAGTTTGTGTCTGAAGGTTACTTCTTTGCATGATCTACATATCATTGTGAAGAGTTTATTTTGAAATAATTGCTTTTTTCCTTTCTTTGTAAGTTCCCACATTTTTCGTAGAAATCAAAAACCTTTCTTTCTCAAAAATGTTTGTTGTTTTTTGGATACAAAAAATGTGGGAGTTTTTCAGAAATTAGCTCTATACAAGGATGTTACAAAGAAGTAACTTTCAAATACAAAACGGAAGAAAAAGCCCTCTCGAAACAGCTATTTTCATATAAACATTGAATTACAGGAAAGAGAAATACTTTCAAAATAAATACTTTTATATGAACTCGGAATTATACAAAAAACACTTTTCCCTATTCCGTTTATATTCCGAACATTCGTAATGGAATCAAGTCAGATATCATTCACGGGATTCCTATACAATATGATGTTTATTGTTATTATCATTATACCAGATTGTTGTGAAGTACCCATGACCTATTAACTGAGTGGTTTTCTGGGAGTGTTCAATAAGAAGTACTTTCTGAAAAAGGAATGTCATATACTTTATTAAACTTATCCATATGTACATTTTGAACAAATTTTGTTCAGTCACATTACACAGGTTTCTTGGTTCCAGAAACCAAAATGTATCACCATTATTATGTTAATGTCTCTATTCTAGTCTATTGAATTGTTCCATTTAAAGGTCTCCTGAACAAAAGCACATGCGGTTCAGGGGTGTGAAGCATGTAATGGACCCAGTTCGGGCTCTGCTGTACTCCTAAATTTCTCCATTCTGTCTCTGTCATTAAATGAGGCCTGGGCACCAGTTTAGCCAAATCTGGAGGCAAAATAACATGACGATACTCATAATGTTCATCGCAATATTTTTCTGAATACTGAATATTTTCTGCCGGCATTCTGGACTAAAACTAATATACATATATGTTCTTTAATTATCTTCAATATGTTAGGCTAACCTAAAAAGTATAAAGACTGAACATTCCCATTTCACTTCACTATTGAACTTTCACACAAATTAATCGTAGTTCTTAAATGAAAATATGAAATTCACATACCTAAACTTATAACTCATTTTCAAACTGATAATTAACAAATTAACCTCACAAAATGAAACAAAAACATACTTCTCATCAATGTCACCAACACACCATGAGCTAAAAAATCTCAAAATTCAGGGTGACAAACTTTCCACTTATTAAATAGGTGTGTTTTGTTCAAACACAGCAGAGACAGCGAATATTTTTTTTCTTTTCTTTGAATTCATTAATGATAATATTTGGTCGATGTTTAGGTTCGTACGACTGAACTTAACTAGCATTCAAGTTCAGTGGTTCGTAAGTTCGTACCCAACGTTCTTTGGAATATGAGTTGGACACCCTATATACAATATTGCAATAAAAACTTGAACAATTTCACACATATGTATTGTCTCCATCATTATAACATAAAATGCATCCTTTTTTCAAGTGAAATACGGTATATTAACATTAACCTGAGAAACAAATTTCTTCTTTTGAGGTTACTTTTTCGAATCAAAGCTTTCACATAGAGATTGAAATCGCAGTCTGTCTCTTTCTCTTTGGTGTTGTATAGTTGACTATTCTGTTTTAATGAGTATAAGGATATCATTTGGTCATTTGGAGCACATGAATATGTTTCTACTTGGTTATTCTGCTTGGGTTAATAATGTCATCAGACGTCACCCCAAATAAATATTAGTAATACCGAATGAAAATACAATGAAAAAAGCAAATAAAACTCCAAACTTATAACAATTTGAACATTAACTCTTATGAGAAAACACTACCGATAAATACACGGAGTATCCCTTCTCAGAAAAAATACATGTATTGCAAACAAAATCCTTACTGATATGGACAATAAAATATCAACGATGATAATCATGATGCATAGAAACACCATGGTGTAATAACTTGGACCCCTCCCTATGTAAAATATTCCGACGAAAACACTTGATCTACGGTACTCTTGATTCTTCATTAAATGAATAGATCCAAGTGGGGTAGTTTTGATATTGCTACCAAGTGGTGCCAATAGTCAAAATTTATATTCATTTTAGTCATCAATTGATCCTTGGTAAAGGATGTTGCCTATACTATTATTTCTTCTTAAAAACAAATAAGTGAGGTTGCAGCAAAAAACGTGAGAGTTGACGCTCGTTCACATATTATGATTGTGTCAAATATGAAAAATTATTTTTGCCGCTAATTGATATATTCGGTTTGTTGCCAAAAAAAATAATTAAACCTAATTTCTGCTTCGATCTTGACCAATATGATGTTAATAGGTGCATTTTTTTTCGGAAATCTCATTCCAGATTGAGTCATTTCCATCAAAAGTCAAAAAAATTGACAATACAAACATCTACAGATGACAGAAAAGACATTAATGACAAATACACAGAGAAGCCAACATAGAAAAAAAAATACATACATATTTGAAATCCTTTTGTGATAGTGTCAATTATAATGCTTTATAAATAAATTTTCATTTAGATCGAATGCACCGCAAGTGTTGATATTTGGTTGAATGTTGAACCATGATCCTATCATTGCCGCTCGAGACAGCTATTGTATAGCGAAACAAATGTCGCTTCCGATGTTTACAATCGGCTATTTTTGTCGCTCTTCAGCAATTCTTTTGAAATATATTTTTTCTGTTAACCTGCTGTCGCACCTCTACAAACTACAACCCTCAGAAGTCGAAACTTGTGCAAGCCAAGAACTAAACAGGTCTTACCATTTAATGTGTAATTCCTAACACGGGTTGGACGATAGAAAGTTAAAATCGAACGTTCAGCCCGAGGCTTGAACCATCGACTCACACATCAGCCGATTGAGTGAACAAAGCACCCACGTCGAACCGCCTGGTTTCGACCGACCAGTACTCTCGTAAACCATGACGTAGGTACTCAAACTGAATATTTCATATCACTGCATCAACTCTGGTAAATTTAAAATTCATCTAAAAATGATCATGATATTGATATTTCTTGATATGTTATTTATTCCACATAAAAAACTGCTATATTTCATCCGTAATGCTTGATAATGAATACCTTCAATTAGGTTTTAACATGTTAGGTATTTGGATTCCATAGTTTTTGCAAAAGGAAAAATATATTATTTATTTGACCTTTGCACTTACTATATTACGAATGATATTTTGAATATATTCTTCATTAACAAAATCTTTTCAATGTGAATTTTCCAAAAAATAATGGAACAATTCGAAGAGTCCAAGTACATTTTGAGTATTTTTTACTGTTACTTTTCTCACTAGACATTCATTTTGATTTACCTGATAACAAGGATGGAATGATAGGAATATTTATCTCTCTCTCGTGTCCAAGTTCACGCGAAGTCAGATATCTCTTTACTATCCAAGTTCGGTGATATTAATAAAATTATGAAATGGGATCATGAAAACTAAATTCTTTAGCATGTGGAATACTTTATTAAAATCATTAGTATTTACCTATGATGATAACACCAAAGTCAAGAAAGTCGTAATAGCTCAATTATTGGAATAACTAAATAGGGAGTTTTTAATTTGGTGATTTCATCTAATCTTTCATTATAACCACTATTCAATCATCTATTAAAATCATGCCTTAGTTTTTACAGGAACGTTTTGCTTCATTTGCAAAATTATGGAGCGCATTCGAGTAACATCTTTATTTCCCTGCTTAGCTTTAGGATTGAAATCACACAGTTTAGCGATGCGTTCCCACTCTGTCCCAGGTTCCAACTCATCATCCTCAGCAACAAATTGTTTTTCGGCATTCCTGCGACAAAAATTTTATAAACATTTAAAAACATGATAAATGTTTCTAATCAATTTTTTACCTAACATAATATTTCATATACTCATTATTATATTCTTGGAATAAAATTTTCATTTTTTATAACTTGGGACTCACAACATTCTTATTTACAAGTAAAAGAAATTGCGAAACAAAATAAAAATATAACCAACAAGTTTTCCTTGATAAAATATTTGGTAGACAACAAAAAAAAACTGGAATCAATAGAACATATACTCACTTGGCAGCATCCCTTTTGAAGGCATGTAATAAAAATAATTTTAATCAATCATCATCAATGAAAGTAATGTCCTCTCACATTGTTAAATCAAAATTCAAATTGCCTAGAAAAGGCAATTAGTGTATCTTGATTATTGATTACTTGGGTTTTTAAATTATTTTGTTGAACTACTATGCTACTACTAGTAATATAAAAAGTCCACAAAATGTATCTTAAAACTGAATTATACAAAGTACAAAACTGATTTCTCAAAAATTATCCAATTTTTGTGGGGTTATTATAAATAACACCAATATGGCTTAAAAGCCATATTTTGACTCTGGTCATTAGCCTCGTGTTCTGGGTAGGCAATGTTAATAACTCCTCGAGTTACTAGGGAGCATAATGGCGACAAAATCATCCCAATTTCAACTAGATAAATTCTCTTGAGAAAAATATCTGGTCAAGGTAGGGATCAACAGCATGTCCTTTCGACTTCTTGGATCTCATTTACAAATCATTTATTGAAGAACAAAAAACTATATTCTTTTTTATCTTGCTTGTGCTTTCAGATCATTAGCTATTATCAATGAAAATAGAGGGAATGGAAATGAAGGTAAAGCACACAATTGGGTTGAATCTCAAACTGCTTTCAAAGCATTATTCTCGATAATAAACGAGCTGATTCAATGAAATGTTCTGCAGGAGTACTCCAGGCACTATAGTTGAAACTTCCATTTCCATAAGTGACATTAATAAAATATCTGCCACTCCTGATGCCAATGATACATCACATTGTCAATTCAAACAACTTGTTGGCAATTGCAATAAAGCATTACAGGAATTCAGTGAGTATTGTTAAGAGAATGGGGCATGTATTGAATCCAACAAAAACCGGTAACATGCAGATCTCACCAAAAAATATAATAACTGCGGATGCTTATTTATATATTAATACCATCAGCACCATTACAATCAGAGTTTTAGGATTAATTTTAGACGAAAAACTCACTTGGAAATTTCACATAAAACTTCTTCCAAAATTAAGCCAGCGTTATTATTTAATTTGAAATATAAGAGACAAAGTATCATTTTCTGTTCTAAAGCCTTATACTAAAAGTTAGTACAGTCAATCCTTCAATTTTCTTTGATTTTCTGTGGATGACAAGCACATAAAACTTATGTAGTTCAGAAAAAAAAATATGTACAATGTTTAATAGGCTGTCAATGACACCTTGTAAGGCGCTATATAAGAAAGGCAACATTTCAACTTTACCAAGTTTATATATTCACATAAATAACATAAATTTGTGACACATCAAATTGTATATTGTAGTTCATACTATGAGTCCAATTTTAGTTTGTGAATTTGGTTATGTCAATATGTTTTTATTGCATTATGATAACTTATAGATGAACATTTCTAAAGCAAACATTTTTGTGATTCGATGTTTGATGACGTTGATATATTTGAAAAATATCCTATTGAGAAAATATGACGATAATAAACAGTAAGAATACGAAGGCAGCACAAAATTTTGGCAGGATTTTTCCAGAATGTGAGACCTCAAATCATATCACGTAGCACCTATAAATACTACATAATTATTTTTGAAATGAAAAAAAAGTTGTTTAAAAAGGTCTAAAACCTGAGATAAAACCTCACGACATCTAATGTATATAAAAGATACTTCAGTACATCATTACTTACTCTATATTGTGTGAAAAATCTTTACCAAAACATCAGAATTGTTTTTTTTAATAGTTGAAAAAAAATGTAATTTTGTAGCCACCTTTTTAAGTTTTATAAACATCGTAACAGTGAGTATGCACTTACCGATTAGCAGCTTTTGTTTTTGCTATTGCCTCTTCATGATTTCTATACCAATCTTCTAATTCTTTTTTGGCAATGTCTCTCAATTCCAACTTCTTCTTTTCTTCAGCAACATCTAAAGTTGAAAAATGAGAGAAAATAATTAATCCTTGGGCCACTTATTCATGACCAAAAATTTTAATCAATCTTACCTTTCTCTTCAAGCCTTTTCACTTGTTCCTCTCTCCATATCCTTATTTTCTCTGGTTCTACTCTTTCTTCATATCTCGGAATGAAGGAAGAGGATGTATCTAGAGAATAATGTATGATTCCATTAAAATACTTAACAAAATGTGCAAAATGATTAATAGTTTATTATCAAGAGCAGCTCATTCACTGAGAATTACATCGAACTGCTAAGAATATTAACTTAGTAACCAATTTATTAACTAATATAATTCACCCTTCACAATTAAGTCCTTCAAAGCAAGTATTGTGTAACATCTGTGGCCACCATAGATTCGACCTAGTTCTCTGTAGAGGAGCTGAATGCAGACTTCAAAGATACATACCATTTGACTTTGGTTCTTCGAAAAAATCCTGATCGTTGTTTTCGACCATTTCAAAACTGCCAGCAGAATTTGTTGGATCATCTACACATAAAGCAACAAAATAAAAATACAGGCAAGACCAAAATATAAAACTGCGCCAAATGAAATTAAAATCAAAACTAAAAAACACACCTCGCTACATATATTGGAAAACAAGGATATTTAGAATCCACAATATGAGATATATTGAAAAAACAGCGATCTACGCCCCTTTACTGCAAATCTACTCACCTCCATTTAAAACAGGAACCGTGACAGCAGCCGGTTTTACTTCATCTTCGAGACCAGCTAATTCATCCTGCTCTCGGGCTAAGAATTCCGCTGCAGGATCTTCATCAGTTTGATCGAAATTATCTCCGAATCCAGACATTTTTCAATTATGATCTTTAGTACAAGTCTACAATTTTAAGTTTGCTTAATTGTCACTGTCAAAAAGTGACAGTGACACACAGTTCAAATGTCAGTGACTGACAAGATTGTTTTTATGTTTTTAAATAGCTGGCATCATCATATAGCGCCAACTATCCCCATGTTTATAAACTATTGGCCTGAAGCACAATGGTTATATAGGCAAAATGTAATTCCATACGAGACTAACTCTATACAAATTTATGTGAATTGTTAAAAATATCCCCAGTTCGTTTTCAAGCAGAGGAGATTTGAATGCAATGATGTTTCAATGAAAAACTTATTTCATCGCGATCTTATGAGAGAAGATGGAAAAGAAAAACGAATAGACGAATTTCTGGAAGTGCATTTTATTTTTTTCCTGGTAATGAGTCAACAAAAGTATTTTCCGAATGAAATATTGTATATATAGATTTTATACTTCGGCCATAGTGAAACGTTAATTTAGGTTCTTTGATGAATTATTAATGTTCAGATGTTTTGTTGTAATTTGAGTTCAGTTATTTTGAATCAAATTTTATTTTTTCGAGATGAATTGATTAACATATTGGATAAGAAACTCGTGAATAAAAAAAAAAAGATTTACGAAAAAGTATTCTTGCAAAGTACCACTGTAAAGGTGAACCATACTAAAAAAATTAAACTGAATACAAATTTCTGGGTGTTGCCGTTCGTAGATATAATAATATTCAACGGAAACCCACATTTTACTACATTTTTGGACACATGTTTTGATAGATTTTGAATCTGTAAATATTGAGTATTTCAACAAATGACAATACTGTTCAATGTAAGAATTAGTCCATGGATTTGAGAGTAAGAGTCGAAATTCACGTATGATTTATGATTTCAAATATCTATTCAGTGATAACTTAAATTTGATTGTTGGAAAAATTAAAAAATATTCGTAAATTTTTTTTTCTGTGCAACTTTGAGTTCACGTACATTGGATGGCCAATAGACATACGGAATTAACTTCACGGATATCCAATGGACGTTTTTTGATGGACAAGAAAATCCATCGGATACCCTATGGATATCCATTTTCCAAACCCGAAAGACTTGATTTGGAAATGACTTGTACAATAAAGAGACAAATATTGGACTGGGAAAAACAAAGGACATATAATTTCAAGAACATAAATTCGACATTGAATATACATCACTTGTACTTTATTTGGCATCCTGTTTGCACGATTTATAGATGCAAATGATATGTAAACTGGACCTGTGATGGCACTGATTTGGACAGAAAGAAAAAAATGTTTATTTCCTAGTGAGACATTGCACTTTACACATTTTCAACATTGCCATTTTGAAAAAAAATATTTGAAAAAGAAGTAAGTACTTATCGGTTGCCTGCTTCCACGTAGCCCCGCTGGATACGGGAATGATATAATCACTTGTGATTCTGTTATTCCCTAACTGAATGGCATCCCAACGATGGCTCAATCCCAAGGTATGTGTATTCGTGCCGAGAGGATGAATGACACTGAGTCTATCAGCTGTCTCTACGGAACCTTCGAGATAGCGGGCGCCCTCTCGTCGTAGCATCGCCTTGTCACGGTAATGCGGGGCTCTGCCGTGATTGACCTTCTTTCCCTAGCTACTCGTGGGACCTTTATGGACAGAGTAAACTTAAAAAATTCTTTCTGACGCTACGTCTATAGAGGAGATGGATGTCGAGCTTACGACTCCAACTGACATCCATGTAAACTTAGATCAAAAGCGAGTCTACAGAGAAGATGGATGTCGAATTTACGACTCCAACTGATCTTCCTGTAAAATAGAATCCAGGAGCGAGTCTACAGAGGAGATGGATGTCGAGTTTACGACTCCAACTGACCTCTCTGTAAATTTAGTTCAGGAACGAGTCTACAGAGGAGGTGGATGTCGAGTTTACGACTCCAACTGACCTCCCTGTAAATTTAATTCAAGAGCGAGACTACAGAGGAGATGGATGTCGAGTTTACGACTCCAATGGACCTCACTGTAAATTTAGTTCAGGAGCGAGTCTACAGAGGAGATGGATGTCGAGTTTACGACTCCAACTGACCTCCTTGTAAATTTAGTTCAGGAGTGAGTCTACAGAGGAGATGGATGTCGAGTTTACGACTCCAATTGACCTCCCTGTAAATTTAATCCAGGAGCGAGCCTACAGAGGAGTTGGATGTCGAGATTACGACTCCGACTGACCTCTCTGTGAATTTAGTTCAGGAGCGAGTCTTCAGAGTTGATGGTTGTCGAGTTTACGACTCCAGCGGGCCTCCCTGTAAATTCAGTTCAGGAACTAGTCTACAGAGGAGATGGATGTCGAGTTTACGACTCCAACTGACCTTCCTGTAAATTTGGTTCAGGAGCGAGTCTACAGAGGAGATGGATGTCGAGTTAACGACTCCAACTGACCTGCCTGTAAATTTAGTTCAGGATGAGATGGATGTCGAGTTTACGACTCCAATTGACCTCCCTGTAAATTTAGTTCAGGAGCGAGAGCTGTGGCGTACGCAGAATCTGTCTCAGGTGGGGGAACGAACCCCCCATGAGCAGGTTAGCAAACGTTTGCGCTCAAGTGAGATTTCACCAAAATCAGAGGCGAAATAGCCCTGCACGGCTGAATCTAAGGCATCGTCAGGTGTAGCTGACGTGCAAAAACCCTCATATGGAAAGGTTGTCGTGGGTATCAAGGTGGGAATCTTGCAACTTGACTATCCGACTACTTCATTAACAGAGCATATACTTTATGCCTGCCCCGCTGGGGACCGAATCAGGTCTTTAGAGTTCCGCAGAGCCGTACTCTTACCATCTGACCTGAAAGACCACTCACCATATAAACTAATCGGCTTCGTTAAGAAGCTGGGTTTGTTTGGCCGAGTGAGAATAGGTGTGAGCCACAATAAACCATTACGGGTTGCGGTGGAGGGTTGAATAGACCCACTCACTTTGGACCTAACCTAAGTAGGCACTTATTTTTTAAACCGGTAGTAGATACATACAAGTAAATGACGATTGAAAGATATTTCCTAATTGTCCATTTCATGTCCGTTACATATGGAATAACAATACATACCCCCCGCGAAATACCCCCCGAAGTCGTTTTAAGTCCATAAAACGGTATCCATAATAACATCCATGTTTGTGTTGCCAAATAATGGACTTTACATGGATATCAATTTAATGTCTATAGGGTTTAATATGGGACCTTTATGGATGTCTAATTTTTATCCTATGCCAAATGGTTCTCCAGCTTACTGAATGCCTAGGTACCTATTGAAGTTCAACATGAATCCAAGAAAGATTGAAACGGTGGTTAAAGCCCTACGACCGACCGATCGATTTTCACTGCTTATCGTTCAATTCGTGCTAGGAATCGCAAAAGTTTCACCTCAGTTTGCACAAGTTTCAACTCTTGAGGGTTGTCGCTCGTGGGGTGACGACAGCTAGTTAACGGAGAAACAGATTTTAACAGGGACATTAATAAGTAACAGAGTTTCCGACAATAATTTCATTGATAATGATAATTCTCATCTGTAAAATATATAAATTCAATATCCACATCATTTTTCAATAAAAGTAAAAAATAAAAAACAACGACACGCGGTGTTCCCAAGCGGTCACCCATCCAAGTACTAACCGCGCCCGACGTTGCTTGGCTTCAGTGATCGGACGAGAACTGGCACTTTTCAACGTGGTATGGCCGTTGCATATTAAAATCTTATTCTTCAAGAAATATAACCTACACAATAATCCATTTTGAGGTTTTGCTTTCTTCCCATGGGAGAAATCAATCTACCATTCAACAACTTTATAAGTTGATAAGTATAATTAGAAAAAACAATTTATTCAAAACTTTTTTTCCACCCCCAGAAAAAAATATTTGCATTTTCTCGACGCACGTTTCACTAATCAAGTCCATTAGTAGATGAAGAATAATTCCTACAGCTATGTTATTTTTATAGGTGAACCTTGGCAAATCATCACCTTACATGAGGGTTATTTGAAATTTTCATTACAGTTTTGCAGTAACAAGTATAGAGAAGGACTCCCAAAACTGTAAAAAGGACATCAGCTTCCACCTTCACTGACAGCAACGCGAACAGAAAGGGCTACATGACTTTATATCCATTTGCAACCCTACCTAAAAGTGAAAATTATCAAATGAACTGATTCAATCCATCAGTTTTTTCTTTGAAAAATGAAATCTCACCAATTTGCATACCTATACCTACTTTTGTTTCATTAAAACTTTCCATATCGAGTGGTCCAACGAAAAGTATGCACCTTGCTTTTCTCCTTTTTTGTAACTTAACGCAAAAATGCTCGAACAGGTCAATTTTGCTTTTGAGGGGGACACATTTTAGATGTATTTTTCTACCTGTGCCTTCAACCCCCTAGCGAGGGTGAGTAACAAACCCTAAAATTTCAAATGGAAAGTGGGGTCGAGTGATATATCATTTGAAAGGGCACAAAATTCTCTTTCCAATGATACCTAATTTGTTGTATTTACTTGAATAGTTATACAAAAAGCAAGAACATTTACTCGATATTTTTGGTGTTAATGAAAATGCGGAAAAACGGCATTTTTATCACTACTACATTCCTCAATTTCTCTCGTGCGTTTTTTGGTTCGAATAACAACAGCAGATAAGTGTACAAAAAGAATTTAGGCAAACGTTCATTGATTCAGTTCGATTGCTTTTGAAATTATTTCAACTTTACTGTAAAAATGGTTTATTGCATTCCTGAACGAGTTGAAATTGTTAAACTTTATTATCAACATAATAGTTGTGCTAGACTTTAATAACAGTCATCCCGGGAACAATGTGAATGATTCGTACGTTGCCAAGTTAGTCCAAAAGTTTGTCGATACCGGATCTGTCTGTAATGTGAAACACCAGCCACCGAAACCAATCAGAAATAAAGCAGTGGAAGTCGCTGATTTGGGACATGTTGAATTGGATCATACTCAAAGTACCCGTCAGCTTGCTGCAGCCTCAGGTGTCTCCCGTTCGTCCATAATACGGATATTAAAAGCCTATAAATTTCATCTGTACAAAATTAAATTAGTACAGGAACTCAATGAAGATGATCCTGATAGATGGCTGCAATTTTGTGAACAACTGAGCCAGCTACTAATTGATGATCCGCACCTATCATTCAACACGTGTTTTTCCAATGAGAGTACATTTTTTTTGAATGGAGCTGTGAATAGGTATAATTGCCGTTACTGGGATGACGGTAACCCACACTTATTCCGAGAGGTCCATACCCAGTAAACTCAAAAAATCAATGTCTGGTGTGGCATATTAGGTAGTCATATCGTAGGGCCACTTTTTATTCCTGGGAATTTAACTGGTGAGGTCTACCTGAACATGCTTGAAGATACAATTGATCCTCTCATAACAGAAATAATTGAAAATGACCAAAATCATAATGATGATCGGCTTCATTTCCAGCAAGATGGAGCACTTCCTCACTATGTTGCACCAGTAAGAGAGTTTTTCTGTTCGGTGGATTGGAAGGAGAGGCCCCATCGAATGGCCTGCCAGGTCACCTGATTTATCGCCTTTAGACTTTTTCATTTGGGGACACTTGAAAAATAAATGTTTTGCTACGCAGCCCGAGTCCATAGAAGATCTTCGCCAACGAATTACAGCAGAGTGCAGAAGTATAACACCTGATATGCTACAGAATGTTAGGAATAGATTTGAACAAAATCTGTATTATTGTAATCAGCACTTGCTGAAGTAGGATTCTACTAAGTCAATTACACATTTCAAAGTACTGGGTTGTAGTCGTTTTTCTTCATAATACCTACATGTTTGAGTGAAAAGATAATTTTGTGCCCTTTCAAATGATATATCACTTGACCCCACTTTCCATTTAAAATTTTAGGGTTGTTCCTCACCCTCGCTAGGGGGTTGAAGGCACAGGTAGAAAAATACATCTAAAATATGCCCCCCTCAAAAGCAAAATTGACCTGTCCGAGCATTTTTGCGTTAAGTTACAAAAAAAGGAGAAAAGCAAGGTGTATACTTTTCGTTGGACCACTCTGTATGTACCTACCTGGAATTAAAAAAAATCCCTTCTACAATATTTTTGATTAGTTGTTCACAAATAATTCAATTTTTGTATAATTCATATTTCATATGAATAGTACTGGTAGGTACTATATAGGTATATATACTGGTACTATATAGGTATATATGTTTTGTTTTCGAGCCATTATATTATTATTATTATTGATTTTTTCGAAAATATGCATAGAATAATATCAGAATATGGTTGACAATGTTCCGAGGTCCGAAACTTTCAAGTGAAATCGTAAGAAAACAAAATTATATTTATATAGTTACAAGAAATAATAACCCACAATAAAATATAAGAATGAAAGAAGAATATGGTATCGTGTACACTAACAATCGAAATATTAGTTTGAAACTACTACTACTTTATTATTCCATATAGCATACCTATTCTTGATTTTATTTGTTGTATAATTTTTGTTTCAATTTAAAATTTTCTGTTTAATTAATATCTGCTACAGATCAAAATAATTTGCTGTGTTAACAAACAAATTATATCTATATTTCATTTTGTTTTTTCAAGGCATCTGCCCATTGTTTCGTTACTTTTATTTTTTATACTAACTTCAATCAATCTTCAAATGCTTATTAGGTTTCAAATTTGTTATTATTTTTAGACAACAACTGAAACGAAAAACTGAAAAACAAGGTTCTTGATGGACAAAGCAGATAAATTGTGCACAGCATATTAAGATTTATGCAAGCGTAAGCAACTGCAGATGGAAAATAAATCCCCTTAATTGCGAAGACAAGAAATAAAATAGTAATGATGAGTGGAATTGTAACCAATACTTTATTTCAACTTTGAAGGTTCAAGAAGAGTAGATAGCTGAGACCACAGAGGTTTGCGTGCGAAAATAAAAAGAAAATGGTGAGAAAAAACCCCTTCAACACCAAATAAAAAGAAATCTATTGAATATTCCAAAATTGTGATGGATGATGCTGATGTGGTAATTTTACGTAGATGTATAATTAATTTCCATATCAAAGAAATATTGACTATCAGGATAGCAGGTAGTCTTTGCGGAACGAGATTCATAAACTTGAATTTCGATGGAGTGGAGAAAGGTGACAAATAACAAAAAAATATTGATGGAACGTCAGCCTAGGTATTCGACTACTCAGTACAAAATTCTTGAAAAAAATGCGGACCTCTGGGGAGAAGAATATCGACCTTTTATTTATATGAATGAAACACATATTCACGCTACACACACGCACTAAAAAGGTTGGAGTGATCATAACAAAGATGAAGATGGTAATCTATCCGGAATCGAAACACTTCATGACGAAAACAGCCAATAGCCAGAAACACGTGTCCGCGATTTGCCCCCCTTTTTGGAGTGTTGTGTCCACGAATTGTTTCATTTTTGTTTTATAGATATATATCTTTCAATTATTTTCCACCTACACAATGATAAGAATTGGGGTTCACGTTCCCTACTGGTATATGTGTAGTTGTCAACATTTGCCGAAATTACTTTCCCGATTGTACTTCCTGATAAAAATTGGTAGTGGATCGTTTGCGTATCTTAGAGGCACAGCTGAATTTGCCAAGCTTTAGTCATCTATCCGTTTACCCTTCAGAAAGTATTAGAGCATTATTTTTCCATTGTTGAACGCGCAAATATACTCTTTTGATGAGACTATATTCGGCCAACGAACAAAGCAACCCAAATAAAGATATATGCGTGATCAAAGCATAATCACCATGAACATTTGCATCTATTGGGAGAAATAAACGATCCTCCTTACGCCGGCCAATCAGATTTAACTGCAATCGGCTGGCGGAATTCATTGTTACAGTGTAGGGTGGTCAGTTACGTTTTAACGCCTGTGGTGTGAAAATATTATTATATTTCAAGTTTAAAATTTTCAAAATGTCAAGTACTTATACGAGTGATGCAGAAACTGCTAATTTGTATCCCTACACCACACCTACAACTTTTTCTATACCAAGCCGCAAATTATTTAAAAATATTGGTCGTTCCTTGTATTGTGAGAATATAATAGATACTTTTTTTGAAAAGTACTTCTTCATTATGTTCTTCAACTATGAGTTGCAGCATGTAACTCCCGATCATTATTGGAAATTTTACTGTTTTTTCTTCACTGAATGGAGCGAATATAGTACCACATCCAGTAAATGCACGAATGCAGAGAAATCAATTTTATTTTTTCACAAAGTAGATTATTGAAAATATTTTCATTCTGTTTGTTTTTAAAAAATGTCTCTTTAGTTGTATTAAGGGGCATGTATTCTCCAAATAAATAATTGTTTGGAGTATACTTATAAGTATTCACAATTTTTCTCAGATGCTTCAGTTCTATCATTATTATATGGTTTTCCCTGTGGGTTCGGCAATAACTAACCACACTGTATAGTTGAACTCAACTTTATTTCACTACTACACTGCTAATACAATACAAAAACTTCAAGGTAATACTTAAATCGCCTCATTAGCTTACTTCGTATCGCACTTTCAACTAGACTAACCTCATCTGCCTGATGGTAGTGCTCATATATCTCGATGGAAGTCTCAGAAAGCCGATAGAATTATTCTAGATACCTAGAAAGATTGAGAAGCATAAGCAGAGTTTAGCATGATCTTGGCCAAGTCATAGTTGATTGACAAAGACCATGCACAGGCGGCCGGCGTATATTTTATTTTCAGGGGATAATTTACAACAATATCACTTGAAAACAACTATACCGTTCCATCTATGTAATATTGTTCTCTTAGGGTATTGGATTGTATTCTAAAATGTATCGAAGTACCTGCTGGGAATCCTAAACATTACAAACAACCTTTATTGTCAGGACAAGAAAGGCTGGGGCTTTGTTTCTGTTACATAGATACTTCCATGATAGGTATACTATTGATTTAGACCGCTTGATTCTTTCGCCAGCAATGGTATACGACGAACAAGCATTTTTACTTAAAATATTGCTCTGTAGAGCGACCATTTGCGTTTTAATAGAAATGATGTTACGGAGCAGGGACATACTGTAAAATTGATAAGAATTAAGAAAAGTGAATATATCATTATTCACTTTATGTGACTCGGTGACTCAATCTAGGTTTCTAGCACATATTGCATTACTGTTCTTAATAAACAAGTTTTTCATTTTCGTCTGAAAGATTGACGACAAATTGAATTACAACCGAATTAATTTAACATTCTTCAAAGGTATCGCAAAGGATATGAAACAACAAATATATTCAACCCATATATTACATTTAAATATAAATAAATGCACATAAATACCTTAATTAAAAATCACAGATGAAATTTGCTAAAATAATGAGTATCCTATAATACGACATAAATAAGAATGTAAATAAATACAGTTATAAATATCATTTGATTGCGGAATTGAGGAAACGAATTCCGTAATATTTTTCAGCTAGACATTTTTCTAGATTTGTTGAATGCTCTACCCAAAACAATTTTCAAAAGAAGCAGACAGATGGTGAATGTCGATCTTATTCGAATTTGTTCAAAAATGGTACGATGGAAGCTAAATCTTCACAATCGGGAATAATCTTTCCTTTGAACTTGACACACGTATCTGCACAGAGCTGTCCTTCGAAGTAGGGGCCGAACATTTTCTTGCATTGTGCACAGTTAGTTATGCAAATTCCTGAAAAAAAAACTTTGTGAATTTAATTTGAAATCATTGAGACATTGATACGAGAGGTAAGTATCGTCTAATATAAGATATTAGATGATATCAGAGCTAAAATTCTTTGCATTCATGATCCAACATAACACAACGCTGTTTCGATCTGTTATAGATTTCATCATGGGTCACGAATGCAACGTTTGAAAATATGTTGATGATGGCGACTTTTCTTTCAAAAACACCTTGGGTCGAAACGGCAAAGCAGGTAATTTCATTGAAAACAACAGAGAGAGATAAAAAGCAGTTTCTCATTCGGCGATCCATGTACAAGCTTGGTTTTGCAACGAATCTCCGTAGGAATCCTAGTCTCTCTTTAACGAGGTCAGAGAATAGTTGTTAAAGCCACGTCTTTATTCCCTTTTTTTACGTAAGTCTTTCTAATCATTATGAAATTTGACCAACTCCTTTGATAGAGATATCACAAAAAAGCGTCCTCAAGTAATATTTTATTGCGAGACTTTCACTGGACAGTTTACAAAACGCAACACGTGTTTTGCTATACAATAACTTCCTCAGGCTTTTCATACTGAGTAAGAAAACCCTTAAAGGAGCTATTGTTTACCGAAACACGTGTTTCAGTTTTGTAAACTGTTCTCACAATGAAGTATTACTTGAGATTGTTATGGATTTTTATCAAGTATCAGCCAATTCCATGACACAAGTAAATGTTCTATGATACCTTATCTTTGAAATATTTGTCAGAGTCAGAGTCTGAAATGCATTATTTTCTTAAAAGTTTAGGCATTGACAAAGAAGGCTTAAGAACTAAAACAATCTGAAACATTAAAATAAAGGTCAAGAATTGAAACAAGATATTAATGTGGCTCAAGCACACTTCAAAAAGTCTATGGTAAAAGTCTGTGACAGAAAGATTAAAACTTCCTCTTTGAAAATGATCACTTGGTGATCAAAACACGTGTCGAGGTGTTAAAAATAACGATTTGGTGTTGGGAAAAAACTCCAGTAATAAACATCACATAAAGTTGAGGTTGAAAATGAAGAAGACGATTGAATATAGGATACATGAAATATTTTTGTCTGATTTCAACTAAGATTTTTATTTATTACGACTGGTTTCATTGTGTTAAACAATTTCCAAAGAATTTACAAGGTAAAGAAGGCATCATTATTATCAAAAGTTCATTTGGATTAGTCAGACCAAATTTTCTCGTTAGAACGAACTCGCCTGATGAAGCTATTGTATACTGAAACACGTGTTGCGGTTTTGTAAACTGTTGAGTGAAAATTCCACAAAATTTCTTATTTGAATATGTTTTGAATCATTATGTCCTGTTGATCATTTCCATTGACGAGGTATATCAATGTGAAATATTAAAAATTTGGAATAAAAGTAGTTTAGAAATTGATAAATAGTTCTGTGGATGAATAGTTGTGAAATGTCAGAGGCGAATTTCAATAAAGAAATGAACATAATAAAACAAATAGCCGTCAACAACGATTACGATAGCACTCTTATACATTCTTTATTATCAAAAAAGTTATATAGTCAAGCTTTGAAGGAAGTTTACTCAATTCGAAGAGGAGAGGATAAATGTTATAGAACCTAAAAACCTACTTTGGCAAACCCACTACAAATATTTCAGATTTTCTGCACAACAAAGGTGTAAATATTGCTTTCAAAACCAACAACTTAGGCATGCACATTGAGAATAACAAAGATAAAAGTTCAGTTTCAGAAAAATCGGCAGTGTATAAATTATCATGTGGGTCATGTCCGATGTTTTATATAGATCAAACTGGAAGAACGTTCAAAGCCCGCATAAAGGAACACAAAAATAGTTTCCAGAATAGAAAAATAAATTCCACATATGCCACTCATTTAATCACATAGGAACATAAGTTCAACCATGAATACAAGACCCTCCTGAATTGAATAATTCGCCGTTATTGAATCTGTTGATTTTCAGGTAAAAATAGTATATTCACGGTTCTGTCGGAAAATGTATTCATATAATTAATGAATTCATACCTAACTTTTCCAGGTAGATTCATTCATTAGAAAATAGGCTTACCAGTAGGTAATATGTTAGATTAAGAATATAAAATGGTTCTAATTTAGAAGTATCTTTTAGTTTACGCTCAAGGAAGCTATTATAAAGAGAAACACGTGTAGTGGTTTTTGTAAAACCCTTTATAGTGAAAATCATACAATAAACTGTATTAATTAGTTTCAATGTGGATTTTCATCAAGTATCGGTCAGTTCAATTCAATTAATTCTTCTGTAGTAACTGTATATGAATATTGTGTGTATACAATAAAAAGAAAGCTCTCCTACTTCTAATAGATGCATTGAGCACAATCATCAGCTAGTACCTGATGTCTTGTGGAATCATCAATGACGGAAAGTTTGCTTACATCTGGAGTGAAAATTGTACTTTGTTTAGGTATAAAAATTTCACCAGTTTAAAAAAAAATACTTTTGACATGAATAAATGAGATTGTAGATGACTTATTCAGAATCGTATTATTCAAAAGGAGTCTGATGTAATGTATGGGCCGAGTACGCTTTATAAAACCACTCTAACGACATACAACAAGGAAATTAGAAAGACAAAACGGGAGTCTTGGAGGAAATTCTGTGAGAGAATCTCTGATTTACCTCGCAGCGCAAGAATTCACAAGATTCTCTCTAGAGAGCCGACTGCTGAAATTGGGTCGCTTAAACGACTCGATGGAACATTTACGACCTCTAGTAAAGAAACGTTAGAGCTTTTGATAGAAAACTACTTTCCTGGAACGACTGGGACGTCGCAAAAAAGGTTATCACAGCACCGGCAGTTGAATGGGGTATCAAGTCTTTTCAGCCCTTCAAATCTCCCGGAGAGGATGGTATATTTACAGCTCTTCTTCAAAATGGAGTGGAAATAATTTTACCTATCCTCACAAAATTGTATAGAGATAGTCTGGAGTGGTACTTTATACCACCCAGTTGGTTGGCAGCAAGGGTAGTATATATACCTAAAGTGGACCGGAGAGACCCGTACCCCAAATCGGTACGACCAATCAGCCTTACATTTTTCCTGCTGAAAGGACTTGAGATGATACTGGACGGACATATCAGGAGGGTAGCATTATATGCATCCCCCTGAATAACCACCAGTATGCTTATCAAACCGGCAAATCGACAGATTCAACATTAAACAACCTCGTTGAGAAAATATCCCAATCCCTTGACAACAAGGAGATTGCGGTTGCTGTATTTCTTGATATTGAAGAAGCATTTGACAATGCACTACCTAAATCTATAGGATTGTCTCTGGCTAGAAAGGGTATAGAATCGACCATAACTGGCTGGATCTATGCCATGCTAGTAAACAGAACTGCAACTACGACTCTTCAAGGCGAGGCTATCAGNGGATAATCTGCTTGATGCCCTCGACAGAAGAAACGTTGATCTGCAAGTCTATGCAGATGAACTTATCATTCTGGCAAGGTCCACGTCGGGAAGGGTAGCTTGTAATATCCTCCAAAGCGCGTTGGACGTTGTTCACAGTTGGTGCCTGAGGGAGTAGATATCTGTCAACTCCAGCAAAACTATGTTAATCCCCTTCACCAAAAGAAGGAAGTTGGACGATCTAACGCCACTTTCCCTCAATGGTGTGGCCATTCCATTTGGAACAGAGGTGAAATATCTTGGCATTGTCCTTGATAAAAGACTCACCTGGAACGCTCACTTGGAAAAAGTTTTACACAAAGCCAGACTGTTTCTATGGACATGTCGAAGGATTTGTGGTAAAACTTGTGGTTTAGGTCCCAAACAAATCTATTGGATTTAGGTGATGATTGTCAGACCAATGATCACTTATGGTGCAATTGCTTGGTGGCCGAAGGCTTTACAGAAAACGGTTCAAGCGAAGCTCTCTGGTTTACAGAGACAGGCTTGTCTGGCTATCAGTGGTGCCATCAGTACTACACTGTAAGCGGCCATGGAGATCCTTCTAGATCTACCTTCTCTCCACATTTTTCTGGAGAGAGATGCTAGATGGACTGCATACAGACTTGTGCACATTGCCGATTGCATAAATCAATTCAATGCAGAGTGCAACAGACTGTTGGTTGACATTGGAAGTCACAGCATTCTGGAAATGACCTCTGACTTTATGCCTCCAACTGTCAACTACGACTTGGATAAATCCAACCTCACTCACAAGTCAATATAAATATTCTCGGACAGTCAAGCGGCGTTGAAAGCTCTTGGCTCCTACCGAACAAGGTCTAAATTGGTAGCAAACTGCCAAAAAAAAACTCTTCTCGATAGGAAGACTAAACAGGTTGTCTCTGGTCTGGATTGGCCTGGAAGGCAATGAAGCTGCTGACTCTCTTGCAAAGGAGGGTGCTGCAAGCGGCTTCATTGGACCAGAACCTGTCATTGGCATCGCTTTGGGCTTTGCCAAACAAACACTGAACACCTGGATGGCAAGAAGAGTTTTGGACTTCTGGCAGAATCTTCCAGGATTGGCTCACTCCAAGGCGTTTATTCACCCTTCGAAGCTTAATTCCGAACAGTTGTTGGACTACAGTAGGGATGAACTACGATGTCTAACAGGCCTTCTCACAGGTCACTGTCATTTGAATCATCATATGCAGAGACTTGGACTGTCGGAAGACAGTGTGTGTCGCCTCTGTCTGGAAAATGATGAAACAGCAGAGCATATACTTCGTGCCTGCCCCGCTGGTGACCGAATCAGGTTCTTAGAGTTCGGCAGATCCATACTCTCACCATCTGACCTGAAAGACCACTCACGATACAAACTAATCGGCTTCGCTAAGAAGCTGGGTTTATTTGGCCGAGTGAGAATAGGTGTGAGTCACAATAAACCCTTGCGGGTTGCGGTGGAGGGTCGAATAGATCCACTCACTTTAGACCTACCTACCTACCTACCTACGCACCTGTGATTTTTATAAAATATCAAATGATCATCTATATAGTTGAGAACAATCAAGAATTTCTTCAATGTTAATTTTTCAAAATAACACTTCATATCCACTTTTATATCCCAAGATTTTGGCGAATGATCATTCTAGGTTACGGCTTTCTGAAAATCTGACAAGATTTTTTGAAGAAACATCATTGTTGACAATAGAAAAATCAAATTTGATACGTTTGGTAATTCAAGTTTGTTGTTCATAATGGAATTTGGAAGGTTAGGAGCTGAGTCAAAGAAGACCTCTAAGACATAAACAGATTTTACGTTTGACAGAAACATACGTTTTGTAGGCACGCAAAAATTTGATGGAATGAAGGAGTTTGATGGAACTGGCCAATACTTCACAAAACCGGTTCACGTGTTTTGCTATATAACCAGGAAGCTATTCTATAGTAAAACCTTTCACAGTGAAATTCAAAATGGAAAATTTATAACCTATTGTATTCAGTCGAAAAGTTCCTTCAACTGGTACTTAATCTGAGCGAAGAGAACAGTGAAGTAACATCTTTGAGATGAAATATAGTGACGAATTCTTATGTACACTATACATGTGTTACAGCAAAATATTCATCAATATTTTATCATATTTTGATCACTGATTTTGGCCTATCCAGAAAATTATTATATACCTTGCTTTCCATATATGATGGCTACTTTCTAAATCAAATTATAACTTGGAAAAATGAACCTTTGATGACGTGATGATTTTATCATTTGTAGTATTTTGTAAACAAGTATTGTTCATGATTACATTTCATTTCCTTTGAAATAATTTCGGCTGATTTTTTGAAAAATTAAATCCATCCAGCACTTTTTGAATAAGGAATGTGGAAGATGCTCATATTGCCATCCATAAATGATTGGCTAAGTTTTTTGCAAAGTTTTTGTGTTTCATTTGACAAATTATCTAAAATAACAATTCGGTCAGGCCAATCTCAACTCCCTACACAGTAGGTTAATGGACTGACACCTATCAGAAAGCAACTACTCCCCTGGCTAATACCACGAAGGGCTTTGGATTATACCCGACAGGTTTTAGCGCAGGATTCTTCGCAGAAGCAATTCCTGCATATGCTGTTGGCCATACAACTGCCAGAATCGATTTTCGATTATTGGAACCGGTTTCGGGTTGTTTGGCCTCTCGTCAGTGCAAGGTAGTGTCTATCAAATTTGAATTCCTGAACAAATTGTTCTTTTAGATAAGTTGATTCACAGTCAGTCTTCAAGTAGGCCCCATTACCGTATGTGATGACATGACAAATCCTCTCCTTTCAATTTCGATAAGTGCAATCCATAAAATTCAATAAATAGTAAAGCTATATTTTCAATTGTAATGTAAATATCTGAAAACCCATACAGGATAGCTGTAACCTGCACATTGTAGATTTATGAAACATTGTACGTAGAAGTAATTTTTCATTTTTGAGTGCTTGTATTCTGGTCAATAGTTTAAAAAATCCAAATATGTTTATATTTCAAGCCAAAAGCAGCTACGAGCTGCATGAAATGTGTACTAGGTAAAAGAAGGTGAGGGTCTAATATTTCAACGTGCGATCCCTACTACCTAATACATATCTACAATATATTGTATTGAATAATCGAGAAACTGACATAGCACCCGTGAATTTTAGTAGAGGAGCTTCAGAAAATTTTTAGAAATATTCTTGATTACTTAATTCAACAGTTTTCAACATTCATCATATGAGAACTGTGTATTTTAGTGTAGAATTCGAACATATTTTTCACGTTGTTTATATGCATATTATCAAAATATAAGGACATTAATTCTCACATGTGATCTTTATATCAAATCAAATACTCACCCACGATTGGATTTGCTTCTGCGCAGAATACAAAACAGGTGAAGATCAAAACGACAGCTACTCCCGAATACATTTTCACACCACCCTCCATCTCTGAGAAACGAAAAATATTGGATTACAAAATATAGAACAAGTCTATAAATATTTTCCAAACCACTCGAGAGACCTGACCAAATATGGCAAGTTCAAGATATTGTTGTCTTTTATATGATTAAAGTCAGGTCCCGCCAATTTTTCATCGTGATTGATTCAAAAAATTTCCATGTTTACATCTAGCCAGGTACATCGTTACTGAACGTAATTCTATTCTACAAGTATTTAAGGAGTTTTCGAACAAAGGTATGGCAGTAATTGCGAATTGAGACACAATAAATTACAGAAAAAATGTGATACATATTTGTACATTACTATCCTTGCATGCTTTATTCTGGTCGGGTTTCTTTCTCTTTGATTTTAGTTTGATCACTTCAAATCAGGTTCGGAACAAAATTTGTAAAAACGTTCACAACTGAGTTTTGGGTGTCTTGAGGTGATTTGATATTGAATTCGATGTTTCCAATCAATTTTTTTTTCATACACACACAATGATTACAATTGAATAAGGGCCGGTTTATTACTATTCCAATGGGTACCCCAGGAAAAGTGTGTTTGAATTCAACATTTCGGATAGATATACTTGACAAAAATGTTTCAATTTCGCAAAAAATAGTGCTGGAGATAGTTCGAACGATTTCCTCATTTTTCCGATTGTACCGTGCTACGAATGTATTAGCTGAGCAAAAGTCGAGTGATTTTTTTACATAATAGACAGACAAGTTGCTGGCAAGGACAGGTGGGTTAAGACACCCGGATATAGATTTGTCTCTTCTCGTATTTCCGGAAATGTCTATTGATGAATAGTTTATTTTAATGATAAATAGTATATGCTGTATTTTTAACTTTGGACCGCCGCTTTCACCAAAATTTTAAATTTGTCGCGGCCTTCAATACAAGGCGTCACAATCGAAATCAGTTAGAATTGTACAATGAAAAAATATTGGTTTGAAGAGAATTCAAAATTTTTTTGGAAAGGGAGTCAATTTAGGCTCCTAAAAGATTTTTATTTATTTTCATTCACCTATTTTACTAACAATTCAATTCAATTTCCAACTAAAAGATGGACTATCGTAAAACACCGTTGATTGTGAAAAGTGAGTTAGATATTGAGAATTGTGACTTATATTCAGCAGTTCTTGAACAAATCAAGAGAGTGCTACTTTCATTTCAATTATGTTTAAAAAAAATATGTTATTTCTGTTAACCAGCTATCATACCCCTACGAACGACAACCCTCAGAAGTCGAAACTTACGGGATTGATGAATTTATAATATACACGTAATTTTTCACAGCAAAATTGCTAGTCAAACTACTAAGTAATATTTATATCAACAATTTCTGAAATCTAATTTTCCCTGGCAAACAGGATTTGTCTTATAGAAGATATATAGGTATTATGGAAATCAGCACAAACTGAATTTCATTAAAGGTGAATCCCCTTGGTATTATTAGAGAAATTGAATTTATATTCCGATGTGTACAGCTTACAATAGAGAAAAACGGAAAAGTTTGTAGCCATTGATTATAGGACTGTAACCAAAACTACCCTAGCAGTTTGAAAATTAGCACAAAAGTGTATTGTATTTATGAAAAAGGGATAGCGACTTTGAATACCCTGTAAGAAATTTACCATTTTGTTATCCACAGATTCAAATAGCGGAGATGATGTTTTTTTAATTCACTTGACAAAAACATTGCCAAATAAATTTTGCAAATATTATGTTCTAATAAAAAAATTCCCAAATATGAATATAAAACAATTTGTCAATTTGAATAATTGGTACTTTAGAAATTGAAATTATGCTCGTTGATTCCGATAGTAATATTATGCTAGTAACACTAAAAAAAAATTAAAAAATATATTTTTGAAAAAATAATTGTTTTCGAGTCTGCACCATCATACAAATCAGTCAAATGTGATCTTGATATTTAATTAGACTCCCAAGTCGAAGTGTGATTCAAATAGAGATAGTGAACAATGCGAAAAAGAGATACCAGTGAATGAGATTCGGATGCATTTAAATATTGAAACACAGACAGTATGTTTCAATGTATAGGTACTCGTAAAGGTACATCTAATGTTTGGTATCGAGGGAAACAAACTATTACAAGTAACATCAGATTTGACCGAAATTTCTTTCTCAACTGTACGTAAAATAGTCAAAAACAAACCTTATGAACGCAAGACGCGATGTGATACAGGATTGCTAAAACCTTTAGATGTTCATTGAGAAAACAATATACGACTGTTACAAAAGCACTGAGATTCCTACAACTGAAATCATAAGGAAGAAATTGAATACTTCCTTCGATAATGTGAGCTGCTGTGACAAAACTCTTCAGAATTGGATGAAGAAACTAGGATTTAGATTTGAAATAATAAACAAACGTCAAGCAGTTATGGAAAGCAGAAGAACAGTGGAATTGCGTAACAAATACTTCGAACATATAACTAAATATAGACAAGAACAACGGCAAGTTTTTTATTTGGATGAAACTTGCTGGATGAAACTATGACATTCACGACACAGTTACGAAAGGGTGAACTGATGGTTTGAGAATGTGTACGCCTAACATGCCTGCAAACAAAGGATCGCGACTAATTATTGTGCATTGCGAAGGACATGAAGGATGGGTTCCGAATTCTGAAATGCTGCACTGCAATATCGACTATCATAAGAACATGGGAGCTAATATTTTCGAGGAATGGTTTCAAAACATATTGATCTCAAATTTGGATGCAAATAGTGTAATAATTCCTGACAATGCTTCCTATTATTGACGACAGCTCATCAAAGTACCGAATAAAAATTCCAGGAAAGATGAAATACAGAGTTATTAATGGATAACAATTTGTATTTTGAAAATTTCTATACCAAAAACCAACTACTTGAAGTTTTACAGACAAAAACATTTGAAAAAGTGTATGCCCTTGAGAGTATTGCTGAAAAGTATGGACACACCATACTGAGACTTTCCCTCCATTTTTGTGTTTTCAATCCCCTCGAGTTGATTTGGGGAAAATTGAAACAAAGCATCAGGCGTGAAAATAATTCTCCAAAATTTGATAAAAAGGTGATATAGGGCTAATTAAAGAAGAACTATCTAATATTACCGAAGAAGACTGGCAGAAAAGGATTAAAAAAGTAATTTCAGTTGAAAAAGATTATATGGAGATTGGACACTTCCATATTAATGGTGGAAACAAATTCATAATTGATTTAAATGACGATGGTGATAGTGAAACAGAGAATATGGAAGAGGAATCATCAGAAGCTTTCGAAGGAAGTTAGTAAGGTTTTTTTGAAGCGATCGATTGTATATACATGTGAGTAAGTCGTATTCAGAAGTATTATCACCCTGCTATTTTAATCTCTACTTTTCCACTCACCTATTTATATATTTTATTATATATATTTTTATTATATATATTATATAGTTATTGTGATTCTTATATAATCAGAAATGATTATTGAATAACGAAATTAGTTAGCTCCCTACCTATATTATTAAAGGGGTGTTGTTGGAAGGTAGGTTGCACTATATCGTTTACTTGAACTATACATGTAAAGTCGATACACAAATTGAACCCAGGGATAAACCAGGGAATCAGGTGATAAACGGAATTGAATCAGTGTAATTCAATGCAAATATATCGGTGGATGGTCATTCTCTAACCTTTGTACCTATTCATTAGTAAGCTAATGCCAAAGATATTTTAAATAGATAGATAGATAAATTAATGTAGGTAATTACATATTTTGATAATGGTATAAGAAAGAAAGAAAAATAATCAATTTTGAAGGCTGATCTACCTAAGCAGAGCTTGAGTTGTAGTATCAACCTATAAACAACTTAAACGTATATATGTATATACATATATACATATATACATATGCATACATACACACATATATACACATATACATACATAAACACATACATATATACATATCATACATACATACATATCATTGTTGCTATAGTCATACTGACAATGTAAATACAACTGATACAAATAGTTGGAAGAAAAGAAAACTGGCGGAAAGAGAGAGAGTAATATTCGAAGAGAAGTTGACGTTGGATTGTTCTACTAATTCAAGATATTATTTACAATAGGATGTAGTTTATATTCATAGCCTAGAGAGAACTTCGATTATGAATCCAGTTCATAAACAGATTTCAATATGTCATAGTTTTGATTCACATGTTCTTTCAGTTTTGACTTGAATTTGTATTTATTGGAGATTGCTCTAATGTCTGAAGGAACTAGATTTATTAGCTTTGGGCCAGAGTATGATATAAATCTCTGAGTGCAAGTTAATCTACAGCGAGAAACATTCGTTTTTTGATGAAGTTTGGCTCGGGTTTCATAATTATGATTTATATTGGGGGTGGGGTTATTATGCATCCATAATATGCACATCAAATAAGTCTGATTATTTGTATAGTGCTACGGTGGAGTATCTTTTTTACGATTGAAAATGATTTTCAGGATAGTATTTTGCATCACCACTAGATTATTTAACAGGCTTTTGCCCAGAAAAACGTTTAGCTCCCACTTAACAACCAGAATATATTTGAATGATTACACAGGTCTGCGACTAAAAAACTGCATAGGATTTTTTTACATTTTCTTACAGATATTGACCTCCCAAAAACAGAAAAAATATTCAAATTATTATATCACATAAGTTTTTATGTATATTGCAGTATCTATGTTCATTGGTAATAAACCTATATGATTTTTATTTGATAATGGAGAAAAACAAACTGAGCTATTGAGACAAGTCAAATGACGTACACTTTTACACAATTATATGCAAACTAAAATTTAAGCACATAATTTTTAAAGAAAAATAGCGGTAATCATTTCTTCTTTGATTTGATTTCTCTGCTACAATCTTTTCCCGTTATTTTGGCGCAAAATAAGTTCTAGCATATTGAGTTGCATTTATACCTTCAATTGACGCCTAGTGTATATCGCTTGAAACAA